CCACAGCCAGGCAGCAGCAGGCACGTGGAACCGCACCACTCCCAGGGCAGCTGCAATGGCACAGCCCAGCATGCAGGGGCAACCACCTCCATCCATGCACAGATAGGGAGGGCATGTGGCCCCCAGGCCTCTGCCAGGGTGGGTGCAGTGGCGGGGGGTCTCGCCCCCCCCCCCCCGCCCCCCCCAGTACCCTAGGGGTATGCATACCCCCAGTTGACAACCACTCCTCTAGGGAGCAGCCGCAGTTCTGAGCACGCGCACACACACACACACACACACGCACACACACTTTTTTTTTTAAGACATTTTTCACATTCCAAGCCAAATCAAATCCAAATCCACGAGTCAGTCCAGAACTGTAAGTGGCCCTACAACCAGCACATACCCTCCACCCCCAACCAGGAGCTTCAGATATTTCCAGTCTTTTGGCGGGCATCCTATGTGCAGATCCAAGCCTGGAGGCTTGGGGTTTGGATGTCTCCAGGTTTTGCCTGCCCTCAGCCATATGGCCACAGGAACAAGCTAGGGAGAAGCCTCCCATTTCCATAAAATGGGCATTAAGCCCCAACACCTCGGCGGGTACTAAACCATGCCAGAAGAACAGTTATCGCCAGGAGACTTAAGGAAAACTGCCTTCTTGGACCCAGACACATGGTGGTTTCCTTGCCAGGAAAGTACACACACACACACACTCACACACACGCAAACAATGCTGTTCCAGTCCTGGGCCCCTCATACAGCCCTGGCTATGCTGGCCCCTCCCCAACCCCTTCCCCCAGCATCTTAGCCTGAAGCACCCAGTCCTGCACCTTCAACCCTGGTGATGCACTGCCCACCAATCCCCCCCAACATCCGCCTCCAACCCCTGCAAGCTGCACCTTTGCTGAAGTCTCTTAGTCCTGTTTAGCATCTCTTTCTGCTCTTCCAGGTCTGGGAGCCCCAAAAAAGAATCACACCAGTGTCCATCAGCTCCAGCCCAGAGCAGCCTCTGCAGTTCCAGGCCTAATAGCCCATGCAAATGAACCTCAGACCTGATGGACACCTGGCTCTGCTAGGTCTCCATGCCATTTCAAACCCACCTCAGTCCAAGTTTCTGCCGTCTCCCTCCTGCATGCCCTCACCCTCCTGTAGCTTTTCTCACCAGCCTGCCGTTGATTCTGTGCCATGCTACATAGAGTGTGAGTCCTTATAACTTAAGGTGCCATTGGGGGGGGAAGTTAGCATGTTGGGTCACCTGAACCACCCAGATCCCTGTCCCCCAACAACTGGGATCAGTCTGGGACTCACTCCTCCATGCAACTGGGACTAGCATGAAATGCCACCGCCCTCCTGTCCAAGGAGGGCCAATGACATGGAGTTAAGTAGTTGGGTCTCTGCCTCTCCAGGACGGAGCCCGCCTGGCGTTTCGTCCTCCCCAGTGCAATTATTCATGGGAACACCCTGGTTCTTCCACAGTTCATTGCAGAAACATCCTGATCAGGAGACAATGGCAGGGATGTAACAGCACTTGGCTGCATCCCCAGACAAAAGCAGCAGCCCACCCCCTGTCCTGATTCATAGGTTTGAAGGCCAGACAGGCCCATTATGATTATGTAGCCTGACCTCCTGCATAAACACAGGCCTGAAAACCCCACCCAGCCAGTCCTCATCAAGCCCAAGTTCTTCTTGAGCATCCATCATAGTACCCTGCGCCCCCAACCCCTCCCAACCTCAATTTGCTGAGGTCCAACTTTCTTAACCCCCACCTTGCCTCTTGAAGCTA